TTGTGTTTATTCAGCCTGCTGAATCAGTTTTTTTAAAATGAAGTTTTAATGTACAAACGTTTGCAACCATTAAAGTATATTGAACCTGTATTCTGCAACTATTGTTTCCTGCTGCGTAAAATGTGTTTTGCCTAATTCTCTCCAAACAGAGACACAGTTAAAAGAAAAGGAGATGCCCTATTGGCCCCACTTTGCTTTGCAGGTATTTAGAAAAGCGGATTAGGTCATGAACCCTTTCATAACACACGAGATGGACCGGACTTTGTCAGGACTTCAGCTCCCATGTGGTCCAGACAATCTCCCAGTGAGATGGAGCAGCTGAAAAATTCTGGTGATATCCGCTACTCTCTGTCGTTTTTTTGTCTAACATTTGGAGTCCACTTTCTCACTTTTAAAAAAAAAATTCATTTAAAATGTTTTAAAAAAATACAAATATGTAAATAAATATGCCAAACAAATAAAAGTTCATAATATTTAGAGGTGAGTCAATTTGCCGGCGTCACGGACAAAGCTTCTCCTCAGAGCTACATTCTCCAAACTTCTGAGCAACCATCCCCTGTGGCCTCCCCTACTCAGCTCCTTCAGACTAGCCAACAGCAATTAGCAAACACTTTGTAAAACAGAGCATCTCCTCAGCTCATTACGTGATTGATGTTGTTAAAGAGTTCATGGAGGAGCAATGTTGTGACGACTTCCTGAAGGCAAAATTTCAGAAAAAGGGATAGAGGCCTAATTACAAGGCGCCAAATCACAAAATCTAATTTCTTTTAAGTCATTCATGATATATGCAAAAATCAAATGTGTAATATACTTTACATGTTTTATTAGAATATTTTAGCACAATCAATTAGAACAACTTTTCTAATTGATTTTGTGGGACCTCTTGTCCTCAGCCACTTGCCCTCCGTAATTCACGTAGCTGGAATAAAGTTTCAAACTTAAAATATAATTCGCCAAGTCAAAAGTGCAGATTTGATTTTCTTTTGGGTTAATGAGAAGAGATGTGCTGAGAAAGAGGGTAGCGCCTGTTTCCTCAGACTTTGAGTGTTAACACAGACTATGGCTGCGTTTGGGGCTTTGTGCAAGGCCTGTGACTTTCTAAAACAATTTAACAGACATTACATTGCATCACGATGTGGACACATTATCCCAGAACAGCAATAACCTCGGATTTGGTAAAAAAGCTATTAATACGTGCCACTTTTTCAGAAGCTTTCCAAAAAAACTTTAGAATATTCCAAACTTTTTGCTCCCTTTTTGAGCCTTGTATTATTTTTTAAAATCCTGCTACAAGTCGCCACCTTCATAAATAAATTCTTTTTTAAATTGTCAAAATAAATTTAAAAGTGTTCCATGTTATCTTCAAACATACTGTAACATTTCCCATTTCTTTCCCATGATCTTTGTCACTTCAATGAGAACAAAATGTGTTTTTCATATAATCATTTCTGATATTTTTGAAATATAATTTTGCTGATACTCATGTAAGCATATCTACATAATTCTCAAGTTTTTGTAATTTTTTTCTGACTGGCTTAGTACTTACTGCATCCTTAAAAAAAAACAGAAAACTTTTCAAAGTATTAGCCAGCATTAAATTACATAACGTGAAGCTACAGCTAGAAGCTGGGCAGCCTAGCAAATAGCAAATAGTGCAACAGGGGCTCATGAGCAATCTAACAATTCGTAATGCAGCCATTTGTGATTTGATCCCAGACTTTGGGATTTTAGCTGCATGCATTCCTCGTCTCCTGCTGTACAAACGATGTAAATGAAGACCACCAAACATGTGGACCGTTTTATTAAATGGGAACAATTTGCCTGGTTTCATATTGGCATCTTTTACGGCCTACAAACTCAGTTGTATTGTTTGCTGTTGCTGTTTTATGCTGACCCCATCAAGACTTGGCCATAGTCTTTGGATTTCAGCCTCCAACGGCGTCACACTACGGGAAAGTTTTTACATATTTACTCTTGAACAATAAAGCCAGTCTGTGATTTTTTTTCTTAAGATCTGCACGTACGCCGCCAGAGGCACCCGATCAATAAAAATGATTCCGTGTTTGTTTTAAACCCGATAAGGCCGTCTGTGAACTTTGGCAGAAGCGTGAAATATGAGACAGCAGTAAGTGCTCCGGTGTTTCCACATCACACAGATGGCAGGGTGGACGATGCCCCGGTCATTACAACACCGTCTGGGCACAGCGTCTGTCTGAGGCTGTGCTGGACGTCACGAAACGCTGACGGTGGGGAAGATTTACAGCCGAGATGCGACGAAATAAGCATCCACTTTGGGAAAATAATGAATTTCTGCATAGAGACGAGGAGTGCATTCACACAGCAGATAGCTGAGGAAACTGCTGTGCAGAGAAGCTGATGACTGATGTCAGGCAGCTCTCAGGTGGGTTTGAAGGACCCAAGGATAACAACATTACTGACTTATTTTTCAAGACTCCGATCAAAGTACAAAGAAAATCACTGTTCGTGGAATCGTACAGTACATCTTATCTTAGCTATTCTCTCAGAAAAGACAACAGTTCAGGAATATTTATATTTCAGCTCGGCTCATAGATGGGTCTCAGTTGACACCTGGGACATAAGGTCCAGCAGCGTAAATTAGCTGTTTTATTAGAGCTAAATAACATAAAAAATTTTATCAGTCTGTGAACTTTGGCTTTCATATGCTTTGGCATCACTCTGATGATTTCCTAATGAAACGACTGGAACACTTGATAAGACTCTTGTTAATTCAACAGTAACTCCGAGAGCCTTATTGCCCTGCAGTTTCAGGACACAGAAATCCTCAGATTTTAAGAAAAACTATTACATTATTTATTTATTGCATTATTAAAATGTCTCATTTTAAGCAGTTGTAAAGTATCAGTCATGAATTCTGTAAACATGAGATGAATGAAAATCAAAAACTGACCTAAAAAGTGAGACAGAGGCCCCTTAAATTTAACCTCGAAAGTGATCAAATATTGGATTAGACCGAATGACGGAGAGCAGCCAACTGAAATAATTCTGATCTGAAAAGATATCAGACAGTGCAGGGATGCACAGTTACATTCCCGATGTGGCAAGTTGTTTCTCAACACCCGTTTCGTGTCAAGGACAGTTTCATAGATTTCTTCCAAAGGCTGTGAATTTTTGGCCCGGTCCATTCCTGGTGTCAGTTTGGGGATGAGTTGCATCAGATGCAAAGTACAGCAGATCCTTTCGAACTTGCTTTAAATTCTCCTGAGGAGAAAGTCTGATTTAATATATGTAAAAAAATAAAAAAACAATGTCCTAAGTACCTCTTTTTAATTAGACTTTTTGTTATTTTAATAGATGGTATTTAAAATTGACTTGGCATCTTTTGCTATGTTAAACTACCTTAAGGATAATAAACTCTTCAGTCTCACAAGCTGTAGATTAGATAAGATTTCCCAGATTTGGACACATTAAGAGACTCTTTGGTCTTTAAATGCATCAAGACCTGTGAGAAGGATACACAGTTTTCAATATTTCCAGTGAATTATAATTGAGATTTAAATGTATTATTCATCAAACTCAGATCTACTCATTGTCTGCTTTCCATTGATTCATCTATGAAAGGACAAACACAAACAAATCGAAATCTAACAAAGTAAAACTGAAAACAAACAAACAAAAATAAAATCTGCACAAAAATACACAAACACACTTTAGTATACAATTAAAACATGGAAGTAAATCGTTTAAATTAGCTCAGTCATCACAGGAGACTGAACAACCAATCAGAGACGAATGGGTAATGTAAAGTTACAAAATGTTCGACAGCCATTAAAAAACAGATTCTAAGAAATGCCACGGCTCCAAGTTCAGAATAAAATCCAACCTTTACGACTGTCAGAAGGACTTTGACATACAGTGACATGCATTTAAACGACATGTCACAGGAAATAAAATAAAAAACAAGACGACTGTTTAGTGTTTCTGCTGTGATGCATCAGGAGGCTATCTCTATGAAATAAGATAGTGCTTTCACTTGACTGAAAGTCTTGGAGGAAAACTGGAGAAAAGCCAGTTCTTCTCGGTGAAAGGTCAAAGGTGTCCGAAAACATGGTTCAACTCAGAAGTGACAGTAAACACAGCAGTTTATATCTGTGATTATTATTCATGTTGCCATGTTGAATAGAGGAACTCTGGAAATGTAAACGTTTCATGTTTTTTTTTGTTTATACCATCATTATTTCATTGTTAAAAATAACAAAAACAGGGAATAAAGCTTGGCCTGTAATCTATATTAACGGTTGCACCCACATGGGCTGCTCAGCTCAGGAACCAGATGCAGATGTGTGTAGATCATCAGTGACAATTGCATAATTAAAGATTACAGAATCATTTGTTTGTAACACAGAGAGCAAAATGCACTGTAGTGTTTAGCTTATTTTTGTCTCGGCAGGCTTTTCTTTGTAATATGCGTCCAGAGCAAAGATCGATTAATTGACACCTTCCCCCAGTCCAGTCCTCCATGGCTGCCCATCCTGCAACTTTTAGATGCAACTCTGTTGAAACACAGCTGGTTCAAATGAACTGCTCATTGCCAGCCTGTTGCAGGGCTGATTGGATGCTGGTGAGGGAATTCAGACGCTCTGGAGCAGAGATGCATCTAAAAGTTGCGGGTCAGTAGCCCTCGAGGACTGGAACTTGGGGACCCCTGTGTGGACAGTCCTCAAAAGCCAATTCCCTTCCCTGCTTCCTGTTCCCGTTCCATTCAGTGCTCAAAGTAAGGCCCACTAGTGCCTGAAGAAAATCTTGAAAATTGAAACAAAGTTCAGATTTCGACTCATTTCTTTTTTCCCCAATCTGTGGTTTCTAAACTGACCAGGACTCCACCGCGCGTTAAGAACTCCCTCCACCTGACGCAGAGGTGCAGGAGGCCGGACTGTTTTCGGCCGCAGCTGAGCTGACCCACGTGACCGCCCTTCATAAATACAGAGACTCCTGGTCTCGCGGCCACTGGTCTCTGCTGCTCCGCTTTGGCAAGTGTCGCCCGCGGCGCGGCACGGCGCGCGTTCCCGCACCTCTTAAAACCCACTGGTGTAATAATAATAATAATAAAAAAATAAAATAAAAAAAAAGAAGACGCCTCGAAACAACCTCCTCCGCTCTCCGTCCCCGAATCCAATGCCCGCTCGGCTCCTGGGTCGGCTGCTGCCGGACGCGGTGACGTCAGAGGAGCTGTAGCCAGCAGACGCCTCCCGGTGAGTTTGTTCTGAGACGAGTCGACCAGCGACGTCTGAGCCATGAAGACGATCCTTGCTGCATATTCTGGAGTCCTGAAAGGTAAGACTTGATTTTTTTTTAAATTATTGATTTAATTGTATTTTTTTAAATTGCATTTTGTCACTAAAGTAGTGCTCAAAGAGATCAATTGGGATTTTTAGCATTTATTCACAAATGTTTAATTTTGAAAGGTAAATGTTTTTTTTTTACAAAGATGCTGAATTATTTGTATATTTTTGATGAAACTGTCACTTGTACGTTCATATTTTTTTATTCTGAATGTACATATGAAAGAGCAAAATTGAGCTGATTTATTACATTTTTTTAAAATAAAAGATTTATTGTTGTGCTGAATGTTTTATCTTGTCACCCAAAGTTAAACATTACTCAAGTCAAATAAAGACCTCTGTTCAGTGTTTAGTTAATTAGTTAGTTTAGTTGACTTATCTCTGCATAAAGTGGGATACAAAATGTTAAATGGTAAAGAAAAAAAGAGTGTTTCACTCACTCTGCTCTTCCTGTTTATTTATTTATTTTCTTCATGCTGTATTGGTTTTTGGAGCTTTCCATCACTCATTTTTTTAAGCAGTGTTTCCTAGAATTGGAGTGCTGGGCGGTGCCCCTTTTGTTTCAATGCCATCGTGATCCTTGTTTTTCTTTTTCTTTCCTTTTTTGTTGATGTTATCCAGCTGGAAATTCTTCTAAAATCCCAAATTTGCCATTTTGTAAGTGGGAGGGAATGTCTCTAATCCTTTGCTCAGCCAGTTAACTGCTCATGTGCTGCAACAAGTCCATACATTGTACGACCATTTCTCTGGCATCTCGAGAACTTTCAAACCTTAAGAAAGGTTTGACGGAAAATGTTTTCAGTTCAGAAACGGTAACTTGTCTAATGTGTTGCGCATGCATCTCTTGATACCCGCAGCCGACACACCCGGTCCCTCACCTCCTGCCTCTCAGTGCGACTCATCCCACTTTGATTTTGACTTTAAAATCATGAGTTCGGCAAGGAAAAATGAGCACAGAAGAAGTTAAAATTGTCCCAGAAATGATTGCCATAAGTGATAATACTATCGTTTTGAGTTGAACTAACATAAAAATAGTTGCATGATGATGATGATGCTGTTTTTTTTGCTCGAACACTAATAAACTCCAATTTTGTACAGAATACTTCACATGTATCCAAATGAAGCGCAACAACCAAAATCAATGAATGAAACAGAAACACTGGAACTGTGTTATCAAACTGAATACATGGGCACATATCATTATTTCTACAACAAGTCAGACATTCATGGTGCTGTAAAAATGTCAGTTTGAAGAATGACTGGTGCGTTCAAGTAACTTCATAAACAATTCCAACCTTCTGCTAGGCTCTGTTTGCACCACATCAGGTACAGGGTGAGATGCTCACACAAGGATGTAAATGAACATCTTGCTCATCAGCAGTAAGAGCCCCATAACAAAGCGTTGCACCTCTGCGGTTCCACCTTTTTGATTTTTTACAGATATTTGCTCGGCAATGCTTTCAGGACAGAAATGTAAACTGATTTCCACACTAGAGCCAAAATATAGATTTCCCCATTTTGTACAGGATTATGTTCATAGAACACTTTGTGTGCAGTCTGATCTATGGGAACAGCGATAAACTATTTATTTATTTACACTTATTTTAGTCCTTTACAGTGGGCACAACAGCATATAAGAAAACTCCTGATATTGTGTTATGGCTTTTTGGTTTTGGTAGACAAACCACAAATTTCCTCCCTGTACAAATGAAAGTTCAGCTCTGATGCACATTGAACCAGTGAGTCTTAAGTAGCTGCAGCATCCTGGTTTACAGGTATTTACTAACTGTGAATCCTGGAGGAAGGTTATTTTCAGCGTCCCTAGATGGGATTAGATGGCAGTGTATTCCTGGTTCTCTTCCTTCATTGGCTCTCAGCGTGACGAGCTTTAGGAGCTGTTAATGTGGCCACTTTGTCCTCGGTTCTCTCTTGCCCACTAGCCGATGCCTTCGACGGTCTGGATTCGAGGCTGCGGTCGTTTCAAATGAAACGGCTGGACACTGCTTTTTGGGAGATCATTAACTCTTTGTTTAGTTTCATGACCCGTTTGACCTCGTTTGAACTTGGGCTGATATTGACCTCACCTTGCATACGGTGTGTCCACCCAGGCACCGGCTCCAGCGTCCTCTCCTCCCTGCAGGATCTTCCGTCAGCGCTGTGGCCCTGCAGCTCCAGGATGGAAAAGCACCTGCAGGTCATCTCTGTGCTGCAGTGGGTCATCTCCTTCCTAGCCATGGGTGAGTGTTTGTGCGCGTCAGCTTATTGGCCTCAGCGTAAGGATGCACGTTTGGTAACTTCAAGCCCCTCTGCATCTAGGCATTGCCTGCACCCTGCTGTTGATCTACATGTTCTGCACCGATTGCTGGCTGATTGCTGCCCTTTACACTGCCTGGCTCATCGTTGACTGGAACACCCCAAAACAAGGTTAGAAAACAAGCGTACGCATGAGAGGATGGTGAAACCTGCTGCCTCTCCGTTGCAGAGTGCGAACCTACGTGAGGGCACGCAGGAACGTTGCTGGGTTCTCACCATGACGTCATATTAAAAAGTATGGTGACTAACTCTGTGTTACCACAGTGTTGGGTAAGCTCTTTTGTAACGAGGGGCTGAAACAAGGAGTGCCTTGTGCGTTCAATGGTTTCCCCAAAATCGTCAGGACACGGCACACTTCCGGACAGCATTGGTAGGCTTCATGAGTCAAAACTAATCCATCGACTCTCTTAGTTTCCTCTTTGCGTGTTTATAAGAGGGATACATTTCATACTCTCCTTTGTATTGTTTTATAAATAAGTCAGTGATGCTGTGAAGCACAATTCCCATCAGAAATATTTCAAAATAAAGACCTTTTTTTTTTTTAAATCTCTGAAGGACAATAAATATATCTCTCTGCAGTTCTTCATTTCACATTGTAACTCTTTTCACTCGGTTCTCAATTGGTTCAACAGTGTTTTCAGTGTGCAGCCTCCAAATATTCAACTGTAGAGAAGAAAAGCAACATTTGGCTTCGTTTTTCTTTTCTCTTTGACTCTGGTTAATCCGTTAAAAGATCAATACAAATGAGCTTGATAATTTCCACTTTGAGCAACAGTATATTTTATTAAGGGCAGTTTTGTTGACAGAGACGTCATAATCCAATTTATTTATTCTTATTTATTGTCCTATTTTGCATTTTTAAAATGTCTTCTGCTCATTAGTTACTCAGAGGGCAAACTTGCATTATTATTCCATCATCACCATATTATTTTTACAGGGTCTCAAATTGATATTATTGTATAATACAGTTTTACGGGGACAGTTTATTGTCCAGTGAAATTTAAGCCCATCTGTGAGATGCTGTTTTTACCTCTTGTAAAATAGCCCTATTCTTTTTAAAGTGATTTAATAAAGTAAGCCATTTTTGATATATTTACAAATGAGAGCAAGTTTGTTGGCGTCCCTTGTGTAAAAAGAAAAACAATTAAAAGCAGTAAAAAGGCCTTAAAATATGGCAACGTAAGGCTTGTGCAAGGATGTTAAAACCCCATATGGAACGGTAATTCCAGGAAATGCAAATATAATTTATGGGAAATATACAAACATTTCTGATCATAGAGAAAGAAAACTTATTTTGTTTAATATCACAAATAATTCTGGTAATCCGACCTGGCCTAAGAAGGTAAATGTTTGCTTTGATTTTCTGTCGCACAGTGAGAAAAATCTAAAGTATTTTGAATATCAACATGACTGGAAGTCATTATTGGTGCTAGTCTTCATTTCTTTTTGTTTAGTGAAGTCTCATTTCTCTCTCCAGGTGGCAGGAGATCTTCTTGGGTGAGGAACTGGAGAGTATGGACGTATTTCCGAGACTACTTCCCCGTCAGGGTAATTATGCCAACAACCCAGTGACTTTGAGCAAGTTTTAAATAGCAGGAGAAATGCAACCAAATAAATCGCTGAATCCTTATTTGTTCTGACAGAGTCCGCACTGTGTGACTTCCCCAGCAGTGTGCATGTCTGATATTATCCTACCGATGAGGCTTATCAGTCGTCTGCTGTAGCGGTGTCCCTTGTCCCGTCTTAATGATGGAGGGCGTATGTTGGCTTGGAGTTTGAGCCTTTGTTCTGCTTGATAGTCTTGTTGTTTCTGACCAGGGCAGGGTGTGATCACTCTCACGCTGGCAGCATGCACAGGGTGGTACAGTGGCTGCCACTGCCCGGGTCAAAGGTGAAGGCTGGAGCGTGTTTAAACAGATCAGATAATTAAAGTCAGCTGTTGATAGGCTTTTCTCTGGATCATCAGCTGCTGAAACTGAAAAATGACAGTTAATGTGATGGTTCAATTGAGTTTCTGGTTTACTGGGTCAGATGTGTAAAATATGATGTGGTGCCACTAAAGGCTGATCTAAAGCAGCCGCTGTGCTGTTTAAATCGTAAATTAATCAATGTTTTTTTGCGGGTCTTGATTGAAAAATCTCCGATAATTTCCCTCTTTCAAGAATTTGTCGGAGACTGCTAGAATAAGTGAAACCGGATCAGAATCCTTAAAAGTTCACTGAGCTTAAGTGCATCATAATTCATAATCGATTGTAATTTACTAGTATGTGAGTTCTTCTGAAAACCGAGACTGAAGAGATATTGATTATTGTCACGAAGGAGGAAGACCGTACAAGACGTTCTCGAATGCAGGGATCGCTAAAGCAGAAGCCCAAACAAAAAGACTGATTTAAGAATAAAAAAACACTTTTTGAATAAATTAGAGAATATCCATTGGCGAACAAAAACCTAGTTTTTGGTTACGTTGATGCGAGGGAGCTGAACTTTGCGAATCGTATTGATTTGTGCTGTTTGTCCTGTGCGACCGCTCGTCTTTGCCCATTTCAGATCCAGCGGGCATCCCTCATGTTTGTCTTGCGTTAGAAATATCAATATGACTGTAAGTTGCGCATTAGTCAACGGCAAGCTGAAATGCACGCTTGGCTCCTGGAAGAAAAGATAAAAAAACAGCTATGTGCTGAGGAATCAATTGGCTGAAGAGCAAGCAAGCTTTATCTGCTGTGATCAAGCCACTGTTATTTATGAGCTGGAGGCTAACCAAAGTCTGAGAATATGTTTGCGTGGAAGTGAACACATCAGAAAGTTTGGATTTGGATCAATTGCAAAGTGCCAGATTAACACTCCAAAAAGAACCAAGGAACTTTTCAGACATTGATACTCATTTGCTTCAGTCATCTGTCCAGGATGTATTGACTCACGGCGCTACATTCTTACATGCAATTTTAAATGTGATTGCCGTTTCCCAATGAAACTTTTAGCTTTGTCTTGCTACGATGAAGGCCTTGTGTACACAATAGGAGGGATCCATGTACTCTGCACTGCTGCTCGAGCACCTTCTGGCAGGGTTGTTCATATTTGCGGCTTAAGGACTAATTAAAGATCTTGAAATAGTTCAGAAAGTTAAAAGTCCAGAGTTTCCAGTCTGAGCTGGTGCATGCCATGCGCACTGGGTCAGTAATTTTATGACCACGCTTGAAGAGGGAGAGGAGAGCTCTGACTGGTTTGGGCTGATAAAGGTGTCCTAGTTTTAGTAAAACCCTGGCAGAGATCCCAGATCCCCAGTGAAGATTATTTCTAAAAACAATAACAAAACAGTCGGCGTCGTTTTGTTGTCTTAATGCCTTCCAGCACATAAAATGAAAAAAGAGAGGAAAATCACTGAAACCCAGTCAGTTATTTGTGATGGTTTTATACTATAAACTTAAGGCTGGACAATAAATCAATAACAATACATATCACAATAAACATGTGATCAATATCAACACATAATACATCTGATAGAATATTCACTGAACTCTGATTCAGGACCACGCAGCATTCTGGGAGATGTAGGCAGAAGAAAAGCCTGCCTACATCTGCCACGTTGTCTAGCCTCTCATGACAAGCTTGACAACACAGGTGGCATCAACTGAGTCACTCATTCTTGGTTACCTTGCAACAATCTGTTGAGTAACAGCAGCGGCTTCAAGTTTTTCCACTATCAAGCCTCATAACTGCTCACAAATAAACAACAATGGTGTCGAGTGAAAACCGTGGTGAAACAGAAAATGTCATACCACCAGTTTGGCAGCATTTCAGATATTTAAAACAAAAAAAACTAAGCAACAATTATCGACTATCGTCAGTGCCGACTAACATGAATCTTTTATATAGTGATAAGTTTTTCAGCCATGTCCTCCAGCCCTTTTTAAACTTTAGTTCTTCATTGTTTTATCTTTGTTTTAAGCCTCCTGTCTATATTTATCCCCAACATAACTATGTTGGGGATAAATTTATCCCCAACATGACTATGTTGGGGATAAATATACATCTGACTACATCTTTCTGTTTGCCTTGCAGCTCATTAAAACCCATGATCTGCTCCCGAACCGGAACTACATATTGGGCTACCACCCTCATGGTATCTTCTGCTTTGGTGCTTTCTGCAACTTCGGGACGGAGGCGACGGGATTCTCCAAGAAATTTCCCGGGATCAAGCCATCCCTGGCAACTCTGGCAGGAAACTTCCGCTTGCCTGTCCTTCGAGACTACTTGATGTCTGGTGGTGAGTCGCTGGAGTCGTGTTTGACGATGCTGATAAGCGTATTTGTCCGAGTGCTGACCCTCGTCCTGTTGTGCAGCTTCAACTGTCTCTGTTTACTTCGATCTGCTGATTTTACTGATTTTCATAGAGCTGTGAGTGCTCTGAGGGGGCTCTTTGTTCTATTGGCTTTATCTTTGTTCATCGATACCTTCGAGACACTTGGGTTACTTCAGGGCATGTTGTTTTGATGGAAAGGGATCTCCCACAGTTCGGTTTTTGCATGTCTTTAAGGTAAACCCTCTTTTCCATGTCAAGACGCAACAAAAATGATCTGATGTTTCCATATCTCTTCCCCATTGCAGGCATCTGCCCAGTGAACAGGCACTCCATAGACTACCTGCTCTCGTGCAACGGGACGGGGAACGCTGTGGTCATCGTTGTCGGAGGAGCAGCAGAGTCTCTGCACTGTGCGCCCGGCATGAATTCTGTCACCCTGAAGAACCGCAAAGGCTTTGTAAAGCTGGCCCTGCAGAAAGGGTGAGTGTCCGCCGCATTACCCGGACATGAACACGCCTACTCACCCGCACAAACTTCAAGGTCTCAAAATACGGGCCTCAGCCAAATCCGTCATGAAAATGTCTCTGCTGTGAACCACAGGACTGAATAAATCCGGGATGATTAACCTTAGAAAGGTTAGAAAGGCCCAGAGAGAGAGAGCCGCTACCAAATCTTTTATGAATGTGCCGCGCTGTGTTGAGCACCTCGTGGCATGGACTACCATTTCTGAAAGGTTAAACTGAGTTAACCGGTCCTGACCTGTGCTCGGCAATACATTAAGCGCCATCATTAACCGCACGGCTAAGTCATCTTGGTTTGTATCTCTAGCCCAAACATGGCAGGATTATCATATCATTGGGTGCACTTTTTCCTAAGAAGCTTAGAACATGAAGGAAAAAGACATGCAGTTATGTAGACCTCCATTCATAGCAACTAGGTTAGCATTGTAACCCCCATAAGCCAGAAGTGTGGTGTTCTGGACGTTGGAACACATTTTGTAGAAGTAGTTACATGCTTATAAAATGGGGGAAACTAGCTTGAGGACGATGTTCTTGTAAAAATAATGAAAATGTTCTCTCAGATAAAATGAAAAGGTTTAAAATACTCCAACAAAAGCTTCCCTTTCGTGCAATCTCCTTGCATAATTGTTATGCCTCGCCAGAACAAAAACGCAAGTGTTTCCCCAGAACGGACTACTGGTGCCAATGGTGTTCTTGTGCAACCTAAACTGACTTTAGGCAACTAGTAAGCTGTAAACAAAAGCATAACCCACCTTCTTTTGAATGTGTTTGTTTTGGTTGTTGTTAAACAAAAGCAGGCAACTTGGTTAAGTCGAGACGTTTAAAAATTCACACTTCCACGGATCCATCTGGTGTGATATTTTTCTGATAGAATGGTTGTACAACAATAGAAGCATAAAAACTGATAATGTAGGCTGTAAAACAACCTGGACGGTTGGGTGCAACAGATGCCGATCGGTGGGAAAGAAGCATTTATTAAATGAGTTTCTAAACCAGCATTCACTAGAAGCCACTTGAGGCGAAATATTTTTTTCGTTCCTCTGTTTGTGGTTTCTGATTCGTCTTCAAGAACAGGTTGAGTTACACTTTCTTTGTGATCGATTAGGTCCGACCTTGTTCCCGTGTACTCGTTTGGGGAGAACGACGCCTACAAGCAGGTGATTTTTGAGGAGGGGACCTGGTGGAGAGCTCTGCAGAAAAGGTTACAGAAGATGTTGGGTTTTGCCCCGTGCCTTTTCTACGGCAGCGCCTGGGGCATCGTGCCCTTCTGCAATCCTATCACCACAATAGGCAAGTTTGTCTGCATTAGATTTTGGTTATGCATTTAGATGCCCTACTTCACACCACTTGTAACTTTTTCATATTTTATCACATTGCAGCTACGAATGTTGGCTAAGGTATTATATGATAGACCAATGCAAAGTTGTCCACAAGTGTAAAGCTGAAAGAAAACTATTCATGGTGTTCAAAGGTTTTGCAACAAAAAAGAAATCTGAAAAATGTGCCGTACATTTGCGCTCAACCCCCTGAAACAATGTTTAACACAACAAAGTTTCATTACAAGTTTGTTGGAGTGTGTCTCTACCAGCTTAGCGTTTCTAGAAACTGAAATTACAAAAATACCTGAAGCTCACATTGTGTGGCGAGAGTCTGAACATTAATGTCCAAGTTTTGCCTCTGATTTTTTTTAAATTAACTGGACCTAATATTAATATGGTGTTTGACTAGGCCATTCTAGTGTATGAATTTTGCTGTTCTAATATCATTCTGGCTGTGCCATACTTTTTTTTTTTTTTTTACTTTTTGGTGCCCCATGAATTTTTAATTACTCTAATTTTTTATACTACATAAAATATATATATAAATATATACAAATACATATAAGTTGCATAAATATTTTTAGATTTTTATCAACATAAACAATACTCGAGCATTTGAAAATTATGTTATAGTACTTTTTTAAATTTTATTTTTGAGAATATGGAGCAACTGGCCAGGGGACATATTAAATCCACAATGGATTTAATATCATTGTCAAATGGATATTAATAATAATAATGATTTATAGGACTATCTACTTATTAGATAGTGGATGGGGCACCAAAACTGCCTTCAGCCCAGAGGCCCACATACTTGAAAGTCCGGCCCTGGATAATCGTTGCTGCAATTCGAATTTCCACACCACTCAAGTTTTTTAGACCGTCTTCAAGATTTCTTTGACATTGTTTCTTTCCTTCTTGTTACAGTTGGGGAGCCGATCACAGTGCCTAAAATTGAAGACCCAGAAGAGGAGATGGTGGACCTGTACCACGGAATGTACGTCAGGTCTCTCCAGTGCCTTTTTGACAAGTACAAGACCCGCTTCGGTCTGAAAGAGAGCGACATCCTGCACATCCAGTGAGAGGACGAGGAGCTCCTGTTGAACTTCGCTCCTTGCCCTGCCTCTGCGGTCTGGTTTATGTCTGGACAGTGAAACCGTACACATGTCAACGTCTGGTGGAAAACAATCAAACGGTTTGCACAGCTGTAGCTTGAGCTCAGGAAAAGAAGTTTGGTTTCAAGAGCAGAGGCCTCACTTTAGAAATGTTTTTTTTTTTTGGACTAAGTTACACCAAATACCACATCAAAAGCTGTGCCTTTTTGGAAGAAGATTTCTGATATCCACTGTCTCATCAGTGCCAACCTCCACTAGATGGAGCTGTAAAGTAATCTGGAAAACCTGCCAACGTCTTCCATGACCTGCGCATTAATATTCTACTTCTCGTACGCTTTAGAACCATAGAACATGCTAAATGCACAAACAATGCAAGTGGAAAGCACCACTGTACTAATGGGTTGACAAGCCCAAATGTTAATTGAGCCAAAGATGTGTTTTGTCCCCTCAACCCCTTCGAATGCATTGATTAGATGTACACAGAACGTGTATGTTTTCTACAGGCTCTATTGACATGGTTAATGGACAATACACATTTGCCTGTAATTGTTATTGCCATAAAGTATTAATTTTATTCAGCTGAAGGGATAAAGCCTTTTTGACTTGTTCCTTCAAGAATATCTCTCATGCACGTTTTTTTTTTTTTTTTTTAATACCATTAAAAGTTATCCTCTGGACATTGTCTTAGAAAAAATGCCTTTGATAATCAAATTCTGCCCGGGAAGTGCTTTGCTTTATGCTCTTGTTTCTCTCATTCCAGGTTTCGATTTGAGAAAGGTGGCACTCATCTATGCAATGCAAACTGAAATTTTTCTGTCCTCAACTTTCTTTTTTTTTTTTTAATTTAGAGCAGCAGTTAGAAAGATGGGAACCGTTAGAGAACTGAAAACCTGACACCCGATGTTTCCAGTATGTCGTGTGTCGCAGAACAGTAGCTTAGGTGTGATCAATGAAAAAAGGTAAATTGATATTAACTTGATTCTTGGTACATCTTTGAGTTCAGTACTTATTTGAAACGAGGTTCTGTTGAACCTTTCCAAGGAGTCAATAGCTTACCCGAAATATAACATGTTTTGGTACATCCTTCAGTTTGTTAATCTTGGAGACTTTTGTCTGTAAAGAACTTCAGTCTTAAAAACATGCCAACTTTATTTCCATGAACCTTTAAACCACTGTCATGTTTGCTTTGGGGGGTTATTTACTTACACAGGAAATGGAGGCTGGAGACGGTGCACCACTAACGATTGTCCTGTGTAAAACATTTGACGTGCTTAATTCACAGTAACGAAGATCACTGATGCCGCTCTGCTTCCTACCTGAATTTCCTGTGTGAATAGAAATCAGATGTAGTGTACATAATTGCCCAGTGCAAGCATAGCGATGGTTCAAGGGGACATGAAACTGAGCTCAAGGAAATTGCTGCTTTCTTTTGAGGTAGGTAGTTGATTTAAGAAAGCAGAAGTCTGCTTTGGTTTTTGCCCCTTGCCAGCTAGTCGTTAGCTGTAGCATTGACAACTAATCTGGACTTGTGCAAAATGTTTGCGGATGAGATTGATTTCTTACAACCTTTGAACAGAGCCTTACTTCAAATATGTGGAACTATTCCTTTAAGTTATGTCATATTTGCAGGCCTTTCTAGCCCCTTCCTCGACAGAACAGGGAATCTGATTCAGTATGGCTGCGTTTTATGAATGACTGTAGTCGGTAAGCTTGAAGAGCAGTTTCCTCTTGTCTCAACACTGTGACTTCCTAAGTGAAATCCTTGTGATAAATCTCAGAGCAATAAAAAAACAGGAGATGTCTTTATGATGATCATCTGTATTCCATTATTTAAATAAAATTTTTGTATGTTTTCAAGAGACTTGGTTGTCGTAGCCTTTTTTTTTATTTTTATTTTTTAAACATTTTCTGCCTTTTTCATTTGCACTGTTGAACATGCTATATGTAACTGAGACTCCGACATTTTGGATAATTGGAAAATCCCATTGACATGTCCAAAGTTGCTCTATGAGAAGGAACTGACACTGGTTGCCTGAATCTACACGCCTTGGTGCAAAAGTATTCATTCTGTTTCAACTTTTCAATATTTAGTCACATCACAGCTACAAACGTCAGTGTAGAAATATTTAAGTCTTTAGTTGTGCACAGCCGGTGGAGACGTCACCAGACGGCTTGCGGCTGTAATGGCAGTGAGGAGTGTTTTTTTTAAAAAAAAGATTTCATCAGATTTGTATGAAAAATGAACCCCAATTAAAATACGTTACATTCTGTGGTTGCAACAACACCAAAGTTTGAACGAAATGAATAGAAATTACTTTTGGGAAAAAGTACAGATGTTTAAATCACAGCATTTGTTTGGCAAAAAAGTACTTGACTTCTCCAAAAACAAGTCTGTTTTCATATGCATGCTTACAGAAAACAAACTAATCAGAATTCCTTTATTGTCAAGAATGCACAACAAAAATAAAATAAAAAGAATAAAAAAATCGACAGGTCAGCTAAAATCCATGTAAAACAAAGTCCTTTGCTTATTTGTAGAAAGATGTAAAGTGGTGGTGTCGCCCCCTGATGGTTGATTGGTATTATGTATGTGACTTCCTGTAGAGTATTTGAGTTTCTTATTCATATGTTGATACAAACTACACTTTTTTTCAGTGTAACATTTAACAGAAAAAATAAGATTGTATGAAACTGCATAGTCATATACAAAATGTTATCAAATATAAAATGGTCTATTCAGCCTTTTTACTGTGAAACTGCAACTTTTTATTATATTTTTTTCTTAATATCTTTCAGATAAAATAGATTTTTTTGGTACATAGTTGTATGTATCTAAAGAATGCTGAAAATATGCAAAAACTTACGTTTCTGGTAGTCTTTTACATTTCACATGCTCTTGTAAAATTGTGTCTGAATTCAGTGACTTTCTGATAGAAAAACTATGAATCCCAGCGTTTTTCTGTCACCTGCATGTCACGCTGCTCATTCAACTTCCTCATATTTCGCAGATTTGACAGATTTCCACTGACGCTAAGGCCCTTCCTGTTGACAAACAGCTCCTTCAGCCAATAGGAATGCACCTTGTCAGGAATAAGCCCCGCCCTTGCTTGACGGATGCCACTTTCAGCCAATCACGGACGGCAGTGACGTACTTCCAATTCAAAGACGGACTTCCGAAGCAAATGTAGCAGAGTAGCCCGTACTTTGTTTATGTCCCGCTGCTGGACTGACAGCTGTCGGAAAGCTTTCCGCGCATGAACACTCGTAACTGCGTGTCCGTCGTGGTTGCCCGCGACTTGGTGAAGTTTTGTTTCGAAATGCTAGGGATGGAGCGTTTTGTTGAATGAGAAGAAGACTCGCTCGATGCCGACAGGAGGATGAACTCCATCACCGGTCGGGCTCTTGCTATCCCCGCCGCCTCAGTCACCAACTCTGGAGCTTCATCCTCTCGAGCCCTACATGTGGAGCTCACGTCCCAGCAGGTAAACGCAAACTCCCCCTCTGAATATACTCTTCGGCACCGATGGGAGGTGGGTGGACCGAGCAGAACTCGGACGGAGTCATGTGTTTGTGTTCTGCTGTAGTTTTACAACAGAGGAAGCCAGGCCTGTCAGACTGACTGTGAGCTAGCCGCAGCTAGCCTCCTCCAGCTAGCTTACAGGAAATAAACTGACCTCTTCTGGGACACCGGTGTCTTTTAATCCTCTCCACCTGCATTTGAAGTATTGAAACGGGCCTCTTGCTGCTCAATTTAGGGGCGTCTTTACCGTAAAGTACTAATAAAATGCTCCAAGATTCTGTGCTTCTGAAAATGTGACAGGACTTGACGTTAAGCCCATCTGCATGTGACAACATTGCAGCTGAGGGGGGAAAGTAGCAGTGCATGTCATTGTAATGTTTGCACTGCAATTTTATTACCATTTTCTCAACTTTCTTCAGGTTTTATTTGAACTTTGCTGCTGATTTAAATCGGGAAATACATAAAAAAAGAAAAAAATCATACTCTTCCCATTCATTCATTCATTCATTGTGCCAGAGCCTCTAAAAACAACAGTGCGTCATTGTGTTAATGTAAGCCATCATTTGAAGCGTGCTCTGTACTCACTGCAGATGACTTCATTTTGGCTCGAAACAAACAGTAAGATTCAAGCGCAAACTGGCTCTATTTGTTTATCTGTTTTACTTTGTTAAACCACTTCCCTCTATCTGACTGCAATCTAAATCCTGAAGGAGTTTCTTTCACTCAATTTTCCTATAATCATGCCTCTTAAATATCATTCAACATATATCTTTTTGCATGTCAACATCCGTTACTTAGATGTGAGTTGGATTCTTTTGATACACATGTGCAGTGGTCTACAAACACTTTCACCAATACACTATGTTTTGATGCATTTTATTTTTTAGAAATCAGCTGAGCTTTAAGACGCTTCAATGGGAATCCTCTCTCAAGGAACATTAAATGGAGTCAGAAGAACTTAAGATCAATGAAAAATAAACTCTAACAGTTAGCATTTAACACTGGAACTGGGACACATTTAAAGAATCCAAAGATGAAATTAATAAAATTAAATTTGAAGTCTCTTTGTTCAAAATTGTCCTTCAAAAAAGTGCTAGTTGAAACATTTTGTCATCCAGTTTTTGATAGGAAGAGAAAAAATAAAAAATCATGCAAATAGAAAGGATTTGAATACAGTTAATTCATTTATTGTTTATCATGACAAGCCTACATACAACCCTTGCCCATTAGTTTTGATTGAAGAGATGGTTTAAAATTATTTCTTCCCTCTCTCTCTGCTCTTTGGTGCTTCTCTGCATCCATGCAACCTCCTTTTGCAACTCCTCTGGACTTTGAGTTCGTAGTTCTCGTGTTTATTTGAGTTCTGGAAATGCTAATCAGCTGCCCCCACTTGTAAAAATAGCGTCTAATGCATCATGGCGACTGTCAGAAAGTAAAAAAACTTGAAGTGACATTCTTTTGAGCTGCACAGCGTCCAGAGTCAGAGGGGATAATTCTCCAAACATGCATAAAATATTTACTAGGTCATTTTTTTAAAGCTGTGTAACGTGACGGACTCAGAATACTACAATGACCCACATCTGTGATAAAATTGCTCCATATGCTGCCTGTATGTGTTGTCATGTGAATATGCAAACACAGTCCATGTCAGCTGTTGACCTCATGAACACGTTTGTAATAAAAAGCATTATGCTCTTTCTAACAGTTCGTCTAAATTGATTTGACGCACAGGACGGTCGATTTGTTTGCACCGTCCTGCTCAATCAGCAAACTACATTTACTCTAGGCTCGAAACATAAAGAGGTTCACCAACGTTAACCAAGGGAAGAGCCACAAGTCAGAAATGTGCAAACAGTGATAAATCAAGAACAAAGAATAACGGTTTCAGCCTAACAGTGCCAGACTGGAGAATAATCATGTTCACACTTAGTCCTGTTAATGGAGGAAAGATTATTTCTGTGGTCACATGTGCCTCCTGCTTATTTTTTTTTCTTTTAAAAATATTGCGTCAGCATTGTCTTTTGTTAACTTTAGTTGCCAGCAGGTAAGTTGCAAGATATTAAGATGGGCGTTTCTGTGCTCTTCTGGGAAGTTTTTGCTTCCCAGAAGAGAGGCAAATCATTTCTCTGGAAAAGATTTGACTTTTTAGCAACAATATTTCTGGTAGCCTCTTGGAAGGACATTCGAAATACATTGTATGTGGTGACTGTCACAATTTATTTTGACTGGTGTAGTGCTGGGAAATGAAACGCCTTCAGTGATGATCAGAAAACCAGAAAATCTCCACACCATCGAACGCAATGACATAAAGCATTAAGTAAGACCAAATAAGAGCCCAGCGTTATTCAGCATTTTTCTAAAATGGAGAAGAGATCGCAGGAACTTTAGTTATTTTCTGGTTGTACTCCAACATAGTGGCGCTCTTAAAGAGCACTGTAAACTGGATCAGCACTTTAATATTTTGCTGGTGAAGAAAGTTTCATTATTCATCCCTAAAATCCAACAATTCTTGAGCTATCGTTAATGCTGTATTACTTATTGCAGTGTTTAAGTCAATTTTGAAATAATAGTTTTAATTTGAAATCCTTTTGGAGTGATTATCAAAACTTAAATTCAGAAAGGAAATATTGTGATATATTTTAGTTTTATCCATATCTTGCAGCTCTAGTTTGAGATCAATGCCCTACCTAAGACATTCACATCCTCCCGTTGTTATTGCAGGGAAACAGGACCAGAGCATGATGCGACCACCACCGTGCGTAACAACTGGCATAGTGATACTATGCTAAATCCTTGACTCCAAATGAAATATTTATTTTTCTATCTAAAAATTTGAAATTAAATGTTTGGTTTGGAATTAAACTAAAAATAAATGTAATTTGCAAGCTAAATATTTATTTTCCAAGCTAAATATTAGCTAATATTTAGCTCATATGTAGATATAGTCGTTTAATATTTAGAAAGTAGTTTAGATATTTAGTTTGAAAAATAAGTATTTTGTCTGGGAATTAAATATTTAGTTTGAAAATTCAATATTTCGTTTGGAAGCCTGGCATTTGTGAATGTAGGAAAAACATGGTGAAAGTAAACAATGACATTTTTTCCCCCACTATGACAAATGAAACAAAGCAAATTATTACTGTTCACTTTTTACTGTCTAACTTTACAAACAGCCCCTCATACATGTGGGGAATTTGTGTAAAGTTTTTTTTACAGGTGTTTGCACTCTGCATGCATTGTGTCCTCCGGTTTCTTTTATACCAAGTTTATTTTTAGAACCGTCTTGAATCTGTTTCAGATGCCATGGTGAGCCTTTTAGTCATGCATTTCAGACACTCAGA